CACCGCCGCCTCCGTCAGGAGGAGGTGGCGGTGGAGGAGGAGGAGAAGGAGGAGGAGGTTCTCCTTCGCCGTCTTCTGAAGGAGGAGGAGGCGAAGGAGGAGGAGGAGGTGAAGGAGGAGGAGAACAGTCAGCTCCTCCTTCTCCGTCTCCTTCATCAACATCACCAGAATCTCAAGCAGAAACACAGGGCTCCTCAGAACCAGTACCAGTCGCTACAATGCCTGAAGTTTTAAAACTGATTTCAATGCTTCATCCTCCACCTCCCCCTCCAATTATGTCGAGTCCTCCAAGCCCACCAAGTAAGGAAGTAATCAATGAAGTAAAAAATGCTTTATTGAAAGAGTTAATGGACAGAGGACTTTTAAATGAAGTCGGTATGAATGTCGCTCATAATGAACTTAGCATGGGACCAATGATGGAGACCCATCCAATGCCACCATCACATACTGGACCAATGGTTTCACCTGATTTAATGCCTCCTAGCTCAGAAACTATGCCAATGTCCAGTCCAAGTATGAATCCAGGACCAWTGAGTTCTGAACCAGGATTTAGTCCTGATAATTTTGTTAGTGAATTAGTGAAACAGGKWAGTGAGCCCAGTGGCCCTGGTATGGCAAGTTCAGCAGACATGGGAGGTGAGTTTAAAGATAAAGATCCAGACAAAGGTAATCCTGATAATAAAAATGCAAGTACCAGTGATAGTACAGGAACAAATAAAGAGGACGCTAAGGCAAGCAGTGATCAAAGTGATACAAAGCCTAAAGCTGCGGGATCATTAGACTCAGAAAATCAAAAAAGTGAAAATTCTGGAGGTGCTYCGAAAGATGCTGAAGACCACCYTCAGSCCCTCCATAGAAATAAATATAAGAGCATGACAGCGGAGGATCTTGTGAAACATCCTTATATAGCATATACACTACACCGCATTAATAGACAACCTCTTGTTAGTAATTCTTTTAATGAGCATCCTCGTGTAAGTTCTGGCAATTCTCATGGGCAAGACCATATGGCACAAGGAGGAGAAACAACGCATCACTTTCATAACCTTCATCCTACTAGCGTTGACCATGATGTCGATGCTGKKCCAAATCCATCTAAAGGAACTCATCAGGTGCCGTTCGTGTCCAATACGGAMCATACTCCAGGACATGRCAATACTCAACACATTGCATCGGCAACTCCGCTTCACCATTTTATATCAAACCATCACGCTAAAGTAGGTGGCAATTCCCATGAAGGGGGTGGTGCGGTGTCCAATTCCCCTCAAGAAACATTACTGTTACTTGACCCCGGTAGCCCTCATATACAGCAAGCTGCCATAGCATCTCATCTGCAAAACGATCAAGTGCATTCCCCCGAAGTTGTTTTACATATGGGAAATGGAAATTCCCAAAATCATCTGGTAAGCCTATTTCCAGCTCAGGAAACTTCACATGGTGCTGTAGGATTTACTGGAGGCCAAAGTCAACATACATATTTTATGGATGATCCTGGAGTGAAAGGTACAAAATATTTCTAATTTGATTTCTGTATCTATTTTGATGGGGATCTGACGAATACAAACATTTCTCCACAACCCATCCTCTTGCGACATATCAAAGGCAAGCTGAAGAGTGATTCCTTTTTTTTATGACTTTAGCTTTTTTGCTATTAATTTGAAAAATTAAKATATCTTTGTTTAATTAGTTCCTCTTGACCTTGGATTTCTGGTTGATGGCTCATCAGCAGTTGGAAACGAAATGAACTTTAATCAAATCCTTTCATTTGTCACGAACTTCATAAAGAAATTGTCGGTATCCACACAATACGCACGRGTTGGTGTGGTGGTGTACTCTAGACAGCCCATGGTTATAATGACTCCAAATGTCGAGGCGAATAAGAAAACACTCTTGCAACTTATCTCCCATGTACGATTTCCAGGAAAAACCTCAGTGCCGGGATCATGCATTGGACGTGGTCTCAGAGCGGCTAAAAACTACATATTCTCGGCAACAGATATCACCAAGATTCGCCCAAAGGTACTGGTGGTAGTCACTACGGGGTTATCATGTGACGACGTGTTCGAGCCTACGCAGGAACTTCGTTCAGCTGGAGTAGATATTTTTGTAGTTAATTTAGGAAGCCTAAGAAGCGAATTTCAAATGCATGCTATTGCAAGTGAGCCCATTTCTGATCACATCTTCTCAGCCTCTTTCAGCCAAGTTGCGTTTCTTGCTGAGAGTATTCTAAACAAGATTGTAAAAGGTAAGTTTGCTTCTTCTCTGTATTTTTGATTCATGCACACACGRCATTCTCACCGTTTCCAATCATGCTCTGAAAACTGCTTACTTATAACCAATTGGTTTTTTAGCCGGTTACTCCATAAATTTTAGATATTCATTCTTCGTACAACCAACACTCAGGAAGTTTATACAGTACATGATGCGAAACAACTGCATCGGCGATAATGATGGAAACAATGATTATGATGATATGGTTTTGATTTCAGATATATCGCATAGGTTCTGCAACAGCCCCTGTTTCCGAGGTAACTCAAAATATTCAATTTCTAACATATTTCAATGATGTCTCATAAAAAAACTTACTAAACATATCTGAGCCTCTTATTTTTATCTTATAACAGTCTTTTCGAAATCTCTTYTCACTGTTTCCTTCCTAGATGAAGATGACGTTTGCGATTTTTGCCCAAGTGATTACGATTTCAATCAAAACTTTAAAAAGAAACAAACGACAGCGCGAGTGTCAACCAAAGAGGACGAAACAAAGTACGTAAAGTTCATCCAGCGATTGTTAAGGAACTAYTTCAAAAACAAGAAACAGAGATTGCAGTCTACCAAAACTAAAGTTGACAAAACCAATGTAAAAGAAAAGGATGAAAGTCACAACTTYATCAGCACCAAGAAGAAGCATGATGCTTCAAGAAATAAATCCTATGAAAGCAGCTCGAATAGACATTTGGAAAATACTGACAAACTGAACTCGAATATTAATCATCAAGTAGAATTTCAAGATAAGAATATTCCCGATAAATCTGTAGAAGATAATTTCTTTGGAAAGCCAAGTTCTTTTCAAGAATATCAAGATGACGCAGGTCCTTCCCAAAATAAAGAGGATTCTTTTCGTTCTGGGTATCTCGAAGTCAAAGAAAACCCTTTGAAAATATTTGAACAGGAAGATAAGGACGTAGAAGACAGGATTAAACAACTGAAGGAAGAGGATGCCAACGTGAACGATGGAAATTCACAAGCGGGTGGATTTGAAAATCCTTTCCCTGCATATAAGATATCTCTAACTGAATATGAAGCTGATAAAGATAGCTCGTCATTAAAAGATGACGGTGGTAAGGCACTATCATAAGATATGTTCCACTGGTAGTCATAATGAAGCATTTTGTCCTCAGATAGARTACCAACAAAAATGTTCTTGGAAATCTATCTTGGGATTTTCATGAGAAAATATTTCACTTTACTGTCATAGGAAGTAACCTATGTCGTTCGTGATGATATACATTCGCTATTACTAAAAATACCTTCACACTTTGAACTCTGTCATCTTAAAGTAAATATCACGCAAATAAAATGTACTTGATTTTAATTGGACACTTACACGATATTTATATTAAATTTACATGGTTCAAAGCGTGCGATTTTTTCCAGTGATTGTCGGTTAAATAGGTCTTATCAAATAGAGCCCTGACCTATTCCCAATCCTCAGTCAAACTCTCGCAAGCTCTTCCTTCCTAYCTTTAATGTACTGTAAAAAGGAAAAGAAAACAAAGGACGTATCAGGCTTTTCGTCTCTTACGATTTCCTTCCATCAAAATTTCCTACCCTTATCTGATTTGACTTTCAATGACAATACTTTGARAATGAAAACATTTAGAACCTTTTCTATAATTCTATCAGGATGCAAAGACTATTTCAGTGAATGTCCAGGGTATGCCAATCAAGGATTTTGCGCAGAATTCACACCTCCTACAAGTATAGGCACTGTTTCATCCGTGTGCAAACGATCATGTGGACTTTGTTCTAGTAATCACTTCACGTAAGGATACAAAGTTTGCTGCATTTGAAATAGTAACAGTTACTTCTTTTACAGTGCCTTTGCATATCGGACCAAGATGACAGGTGAACGTACAAAGACACTAATACTTGATCAGTTGTGGCAATACACCTTTTCAGTTGCTCTTAGGCCTCGGCAGCGTGTTAAATATTCTTTTTGAATTTGCAGGAATGTGAACATTGATATGAATAGTCTCATTTGTCAAATTCAAAAGAATAATTAACTTGCTATCGAGGCCTAAGTGCAACTGAAAAGGTGTATTGTACGTGAGATAAAGATGTCTATCATTGCCACACTTTTTCTTGGTGTTCTTCCATTGTTAGTATTCTTTTAAAGTAAAAAAAAGATTGTCAATGCTAATCATAGCTACTCCGATGCAAAGGCACTATTGATTGTCAAGCAGTGGCCAAAATACTCTTGTTTTATCTTTTTTAGTCACGACTTTCAAAAATGACTTGATATAACACGGTCGCCGACCACGGCACYGGGGACGAAGTACTACARTGAACTAGGCCTCAAAGGACAGCYTCCCTATAGTAAACTTCCACAAGARKAYTTTGTCATGAATAACATTCCCAATGCATCTTTCAACCTTTTGGACACTATCAACATGCGGTCTTCGTGGTGTTTTTAGATTTAAGGTCTCTGAGGTCTAGTTTCCATGATTGGTCACTAGTTCCTCAATATCGGAGGTCCGCGAATTACCACATATTTTTTAAAGTCGTGCCTGCTTGAAAGAATATCTCATCTTGTTCTTTAAATGTTTATTTATGTTTCTTTTTATTTTCCAGTCTGAAATCAAAGATTACGCATGCCGGGATTAAAGATCATAAGTCTTCCACGAAAGATTCGAGTGCAATCACGGAGGACCTTGAAGATGACCCTGTTTGATTTTCAGTTTATTGTGACGATTGTAATAAAGGCATGCATTTGGTTGAAAAACGTGATTGAGCAATGATAAAATCACGTTATCGCACTGTAATAGTCTCCTGATATGTGATCATGTAGCTTGGTAGTGTGTTGATAAAACACGTGCGCATAGTGTGATAAACTGGCGATATTGAGCAGTATTAGTGTAATAAAGGCATGTTATCGGAAAAAAGTGTATATTTCTTTGAGTTTATTCCCCTGTATGCCTTTATCGTGATCAAAACCAATAATTCGTATATGTTATAGCAAAAAAAACTCATATAAAAAGACAGTTGCATCTGATCCACCATATAAGAACAAGAGCTCATATCCTCGGCTCTCAGATTTACCTGTCGAAGACTAGCAAACTCGAGGATGGCAGTAACAGATTAATATAGAAAACACATGCGTTCGCGTAAAGTTTTGTAGTTTAAAATACTACTCCGGTTTAAGAGTCAAAAATATCCAGATATAATTCCCTGTGAAGTGCGAAAATGYAGAGACGTCAATCTTTAGCAAAATCCACTGAGGTTTTCGCGATTATGGCTTTCTTTCCCTTWGCTCTTCTCAATCATTGCAAATAAGAATMGCTGGTTGGAAATACTTGGGTCAGCACTACCATACGATGGTTAGCGATAGAGTGGATCACCTTTAATTTGCCGAAAGTGTAGTTTTGCCTTGATCCTTTGTTTCACGTCTTTCATGCTCTCTTTCAGAGTAGAGTGCAGAAAGTACGTTTTAATTCAATATGCACCTTTAGATATCAGAAGGGCATTGTTTAGTGACAAGGCCGTTATAACCAGAMTCAAGAACATCGTCCCAAGAAAAAATTAGCTTCTTGGAATAAATTGAATAAGAAGACTTGAAATCAACATCTGCAATATGTCCTTGCAGCTTAGAAGTCTTGGTAATTCCCAAATGAAACGTACCACCACTTTGGATTCCTTTCAAGATGAACATATTAAGATTTTTGTTGTAAGAAATAGGTTTTGTATCTTGCAGCTTTTCGTTTTTATAAAGAGTTAATTTTTTCCGCTGTGGTTGCGCTAATGTGAAACTTTGCCATGTACCGTCACGGACAAGATTTGATTGGATAAGGCAGTTTCCACTGAAAGAAAAAACAATAAACTTTGTCTATCAATCTTTCAAGGAATAATRATTCACAATTAGAAAAGTAATAGAGAAAGCATTCCCATGGCTAATTCATAACAGTGACAATGAATTTTTAAGGAACGCTCAACTACTCGCAATTTTAAAAGACCTTGCTTTCGGTGTCATCCCTGATTGTGGTTTGACCCCACTTTCCATATGGCATTGCAATCCACCCTTGCTCTGGGTACGTACCTGATGTCGTTGTTCTCCCCAAGTATGATGAAAACCTCGGCTAAACCATCGCTATTTATTTGAACTTTCAATAACTCATCTTCCTGTCTGACGTATGACAAAATGGCGASWGTCTGTCTATTGGAAGAAGTAATCTTTAGCCAAAATGACAATGAAAACAATAAAATTGTSTTAGACACAGCAGCGTTGATCTTAACGAAGTCGTCCTTTGAATTTCTTGGAAAATTAAGCACACAACCTTTAAAAGAAAATCAACTAGGTAAGTGATTGTTCGATAGACAATGTGCTCCGACAACATAGGTGATACAAGCGCACTAACTAGACATCAAGTAATTGTGAGTTATGAACACAAGTAAAAGGTGTAGAGTGGTTCTCATAAATCCAAAGTGTAATAGCGATAAATACGCTGAAGTGTGTTTCACGGGTTATAATGAGAACCACTCTATCAATCAACACAGCTCAGCTCAGACATGAGAACTTTATGCATCATTGACCCAAGTAGTTGCAAATTCAGTGTCAGATGATTTGATAAAAGATATGCAGGGCACAGATGGACTAGTGGTTAAGCTACTGGCCTCTCACCGCTGTGGTCCGGGTTCGATTCCCGGGCACGGACCATATGTGCATGAGTTTGAGTTTGTTTGATGTGCTGTTCTCTCCCTTGCCACGAGGGTTTTTCTCCGGATCCACCGGTTTTCCTCCCTCGGTAAAACTCAACATGCGAGGAGTGTTGTGTGCTAAAATACTTGATGTAGAGGTAGTGAATGTGAGAGTACAGTGTCCGCAGTAATTGGCTCACGCTGTTGCGGTGTCCCTGTCCAAAGCAGGGGCAAAGCTAATGAATTTTAATGAGAAACAACAAGCATACTTGTAGGCGATGGCGATGGGGTTGATGGATTAGCTGTCACAGTCGGAAGAGTTGTTGGAGAGGGCTTGCCAGTCGCTACACATAAAAAGGAAAGGAATTAAACTGATGGAAATAACATAGTATAAAATGAAGAATGTAACTTTTTAGAAAGAAATGTGATTCGWTCATACTTGTAGGCGATGGCGATGGAGTTGATGGATTAGCTGTCACAGTCGGAAGAGTTGTTGGAGAGGGCTTGCCAGTCGCTRCASATAAAAAGGAAARGAATTAAACTGATGCAAATAACATAGTATAAAATGAAGTATATAACTTTTTAGAAAGAAATGTGATTCGACCATCATACGCTTGACCTTAAAAAATTACGCTTAAAACTTACAATACCTTTACAAATGAATGTGTTTTCCGTTTCGTTGAAGCGACATTTTTCATTTTTCGCACAACTACAATTCGTCTGCAATTGAATGGTGAATGAATTTAACATAAGCTGACATTTAGGTATTTCATATTTTCATAAAAGGTTAAATATTAATTGTCGTCTGCTATTTTTTGGGATTCGTTCTAAGACTCGATGGCATCTCCCTTTGTGAAAATCTTATTAGAAAAAGTTAATTCAGTAAAACCCTTATGTAAAATCATTCATTCAATGAACCAACCTCTGCGGCGCTATAAATAGATCCTGGCCTGTCAATCAAGTTCTCGGCATCCATCACGTGATTAGTTTCACACAGCTCACATGACTTTTTCTTTGACATAAAGTTATACGAGATGCATCGGTTCTCAAAGTAACAATGAACTTGACAGTTATCGTTGTTTGATGCATTGGTTGTTTTGATCACAAAACCAGTAAGAGCTTTGTTTTCGTATCTTGTCTTAAAGAGTAATTTCTTACAGCCCCCTAAAAGTAGAAATAAAAAATAATTTACTCCCACAAAGAGAGATATTCATCAGTAACAAAAAAATTGATAAAATTTACGGTATACGGTCTGTCTCAACTCTAACATTGACAATAATAGCGATTTTCAGTCTTTTTGTAACGCGTACAGATGTTTTTTTAGTTCTTTTCAAGTTTATCAATTTGCTTCCCAGTTTGACCCAGTAGGAAGTAGAATAAAGTCGATTTGAATTTTACAACTTCAAATGACTTCATGTACGTACAACGTATCCTACCAGTATATTACTAGTGCTGGATAGTATTCGCCCAAACCACAAGAAAACATTAGACATTGGAATAAAAACTCAGTGACCCTCAGTGTACAAGTGAAAAAAAAAAAAAAAACATTATGTAGAATTATTTAATCGAATAAAAATCGAAATCAAATAATGAAAGACAAACTCACATAAGAAATTAGAAAATATCCACCACATCGAAACTCAAAATTTAATTAATTTTACGTTAACTTTATTATTAAATTTTTCTCCAAAGCAGTCCTTGGAATTCTTTTTTCTTTGCTAATAAAGACTAGTTAAGTTGAGATTTTAATTCGCCAATTTCAAATGCTTTAAAGGTAAGGAATTAATGGACGTTATCTCAAATGTTAAAGTAATTTAAAAAACCTGGAACATCCTGGCAATTAAAGTGCACCCTTTTTCCATTAATCCATGGTATAATCTCTCTTGCCAGGCTCAGATTTATCAAATACACTGAAAACATACCTGTGAAAGAAAGCAATCCCGAAATGACAGCGAGACAGAGAAAGACTCGATCCATCGTTGATGTCGAACAGCAAGGAAGAATTCAAAATGATCCAATTTATTTTTAAAACAATATGCTTCTCCAGCGAAGACTAGCGCGTGGCAATTCGGTCACGTTCAGCAATCATATGTTTTGCACAAAAACAAGCAATACAAATAACCTTGGAGACCGACTATGTTTTTTTATCGCTTATTAACAAGATACCACCAACTGTGGACCAAGGTTCACAACAAGTTCATCCGCCTACGACCTTGTAAACTGTAGAAATAAATATTCCTCGTAGGTATTGTAGGCAGCTAGTATGTGACTTTTTTTTACTAAGAATTAGCCCTATCGGAGGGAAGTAAAAAGTGCACCCTTTCTTAAGTTTAGGTAAACTTCTGTATTCTTCTGCAAAAAAAAAAATGCTTTTTTTGTCTTTTTAGATTAAAATACAAAAAGAGAAATAATGAAAAAATAATGAAAAAATAATGAAAAACTAATAAACAAAAGACGTTCTCAGCAGGGAAATTTCAACAAACAACAAACAAACATCCAAGACTTTGAATGCACTTAATGCACTTAACAAATTTTATTGAAGTAGAAAAATCAAAGAAAAGTAATAGGCATTCCTTATTGAACTAAAAAAAAATGATTTTTTTTACATGTTTTATTTGGTAAAAGTTTAGTAATTTCGTGTTTGTTCATAACAATGTAATAGCATGTGACGTTATTTGACGGCAATATGCCCCCCTGTTAAGATCTACTAATCTACTATCAGTGAAACTTTTCCATAAGAATATATTAAAAAAAAGAATTTCGATTAATTCATCATTATGTGTTACTTTATTTAGAAAATCCCATGATACCTTTCGCTCTTCAATCGAAAAATCCTGATATCAACGCTTGCCAGAAAATCGGTAAAAAGGYAGTTATAAGAGTCAACTCAATATTCCRCGTCGTTTATTCTGTGATTAAGTAGACGWAGTTTGCATGCGGCCCTCCAACACATTCAGTTTCGTCTTCATTATCACATTTCTTGTACTTCTGGCTGTAACAAAGCGTTGATTTTCCAAATCTGTTGTACGAGTCACATGACCCGCTTCCTGCCCAGCATTCGCCGTAGTATTGGAGACCAAACATGGTATAGTTGCGGTTTTGGGCTTCCTGTGCACATCGACATGCAAGACTGAAATAGTCAATACAATTATCATTACAATTATCATTACAATTATCATTATATTTGAGACTCCATGGCCAAGGTAGCGGAGTCTTTGCATCAAATCGACAAATTGCTATCATTGCAGGCTCAACCTCTGTTTCACATTCAATTAAAGGCTCGTCTGGTTTTCAAAATGGTGCTGGGAATTGTAGAAAGTAGTATTAAAAAACATCGAYWWTTWRKKGKYMAAAAATCCATCGTTTTGTTGTGTGAAAATAGGGCTCAAAGTTTAACTTATAGAAATAGCAATATCTCTAACTTACAATAAACAGACGAGAAGGGTAAATGGAGGAAATGATGAATGTTTTTTTTTTCAACTAAATCCTAAATAAACGTCTAACTCTCTTTTATAAACGTTAAATACTGAAAACTGATATGGAATAGTGTAWTTTAAGACCAAAATGAATTGTTCGTCTTCCTATCACCGTTCAAAAGACGTTTCAGACTGACTATATCAAAGTAAAGAACTTTGTTTTTGAAATCGCTGTAGTTCAATAGAAATACCTGCGAATGTACTGGTTCCAGTTCGTCCAATCAACTGACTTTTGAAACCTTGGGTCCATAGGGTCACGATCAGTGAACAATAACTGAGGGAGGGTCCGTGGGTAGAATTTGTCACGGTAGCATCCAAGCTTGTAATAGTCCGTATTGCATGGAGCGCTGTAACCATATCCTTGTGCTAAGGTAGCCATGGCAACCACGCTAAAGACGAGTATGTAAACCAAACCACTCATTGTAGATATACTTAAAGCAAGAGCAATACAATCTATAAAAAAGAAACAACAACAACAGAAAACGATGTAAGACCTCTGATAAGTGTTCATATAACGGGCAACAGAGAGTCCTGTAGTGCGATGTAGTGTTTGGTTGGTTATATATCTTGGTATTAACGACATGGGAATCCATATTTAAGGTTAAACTTGAATTGAAATCCATAAATAGAAAATGCTAACAACTGAAATTTTACAGGAAAGTGAGTGAGTGACAGATWTTCTCTACATGGACCGACAATAAAGCGTTAAAMAGTGCAACTTGTTTATTTAATTTCTTTGCTACTGCTTGGAGCGTGGAGTTCCTCTGATAATCGGACCAAATCGTATGATTTATATCATATTTCTTCTTGTCAAATCATTTATCAGCCACGAACACTTGTTTATCATGGAATGTCCTCTATATCACGGACACTGCCCCTATACTCGCGTACATCAACCGTTAGGTTATTAGAAAATCTGATCCGAAATGCTGAAGTAAAACTCGAGGTTTTTGTGTAACATCAACCGATTCACTGACTTCGTTGCTTGAGATTATTTCTTGAAGACGATACTACAATACTAGTTGTAAAGACGTCATGCTGCTTTGCTTAAACGTCTTTGTGGAGCCTTTGCTTCTTAGATAATATTATGAAGTTTAAAACTACTAAAAAATTGACGACTTTCTTGGTAAAGAGTTTGTTTTGTTGAGTCAATTCTATGTCCCGCTAAGTTTCATTATTTTTTTTTTGTCTCGATAAAAATGTGAGTGGAAATGGTTTTACTTACCATGAAGTTCCTTGTGTATGAAAGATTCAAACCTGTAGAAAAGTAGAGTAAATTTACTTGCTAGACAACAACACGACTCTTAAAATAATCTAAAATAAATTTGCAGTTAATTTCCATGGAAACGTACTGTTTTSAGAAGCATTTCTAATGACTTAAGTATATATATATTCGCCAGATTTCTTCATTTATCAGTCCGACGAAGAGTTCCCATTGTATTATTGACTTTATTTAGATAAAAGAAATGTAAAAGAGACATTGTTTGTTAAGCACTTTGTTTTTTAGTATCAACATGGCTTTGAAGGGAGAAAAACCGACGCAGAATTGAAGAGTACGTTTCATGTTGTTTGCGGAGGGACAAATGCGCATRAAAGGCCCAAAAATGTGATTATTAACTGAGCAAGGGCACACGATAATTATTTACTAAAGTTCAGAAATGAAAAATTAGGGGAAATACGTTTTTTAACAATACACAAATTTATCACTTTTTCTCATCAAACTATCWTTTTTGCTTTTGTTTCAATTGTCTTCCATTTCAAAACAATTCATTTATGTTTGTTTAGACTCTGGAAATAATAAGTWGGTGGATTAAGGATTTGACGTGGGTCAATTTGAACCAATACAAATTATACTCAATGCGTGGACATGTTTGTAGAAGTGTAAGAAACTCTCTGACGTCAAGTGAAAAGTAGTAACGGCCCACTCAACGTACACCATACCCACACAGTTCCATTCTATTAAGTGTTTTAATTAAGCAACAACGTTTATCGAGTGTTTWCAGAAAAAAAGTCGAAAAGGAGAGAGAACCACCATAATGCATTACATTTGGTGGACTGACCAAAAGTTCCGACAAAAAGAAGAGTTTCAAATTTCTTTTTAATTCACCTGCATTGAATATATTCTAAGGACTAGTTCATATGGTGTATATCACATGTATTTGATTAGAATCATATTTTTTAAACATATCTAAGTACAAGAAACAACTGTTGAATCTTTGCAGTATTTTCGAATGAAGTAAGTCGAATGTGATTCAGGCACGTCTAAGTAGTGTTTGTGTCACATGGTTTATTTACATATAATTCGTCAATATTACTATAATACAAGTGAAATGGTCCATATGAGCTCCAACTAAGAGTTCGTTGCAACAATAATCGCAACAATTAAAGTAAGGAAGATAAATTATGAGATGTAACAATTGTATAATTGAAATAATCAAGAAGGTACCAATTGGTGAATACAATTTCCYATGTTGTTAAATGCGATAAACATAATTAGCATTTCCCAGTCCTACGCATTCTTCAGCCTTCTCATCATYGCACGCAATCTGGTGCTGATTAACRCACTTGTTAATAGCGCCGTATTTAGCATATTGAGAGGAGGCCTGGGGACCACTGTAACAGACACCATAGAACTGGAGGCCGAAGTGCGTGTAGCCCTTGGCTTTAGCGGCCTTTGCACAACGGCAGGCTAGTCTGAAACAAATAAAACTTCGTATGAAAAGTACAGTGATAATAGTGGTCATATGTTTTCATTCAGTGCCTGGAATATAAGCTTTTCCTCCCATCGTTGACTGAAAATTCTCTATCACAACATGYAAAGAGGCGCGTCGTAATCCCCTGTAAACTACAATATTAACAACTTCACTCCATTTCTTACCTTTTCAAGTAGTCTCCAAAGTTAAACCAATCGATTAATTCTCCGCCATATTTTTCACAAACGGAGCAACGATCTTGAAATAGCATAACAGGCAGAGCTTCTTGAAACCATATATCACGGTAACAACCCGTCTTGAAGTACTTYACATCACATGTGGCGCGYTTTGATCCTAGAATTCAAACATAACTAATAATAGACCTTCATCAAGGATCTATTTCARGAAAAACAATAAGCAGAAAATCTGAGGTCATGAACAGTATGAAGCACCTTTTGTAGGATTACTAAATAAGACTGAATCGGTCGAAAAAAACTTATTTTTATTATAATTATCGTAATTATTAAAATTAAAAATATAAATATTATCATTATCCTAAAGGAAAGAGAAGAACATGATGAAAACTCTGGAGAACTCGTAGCAAGGAAAAGGCGAATTTCTTGGAGAACAGCAACTGAAGGAACAAAAACGAGTCGAGAGGAAAGCGATCTAAGAGGACAATAATTAGCAATAATTATTTAAGTCGATCGAGAAGACAACCCAGGAGAGGAAGATTTAAAAAATCCAAGAAGATTAAAAAACATACACGCAGGACAATAACAGCAGTTTTTCGATTTTTTTAAAAACAAGAAAATGTCAAGCAGAACTTGTGACATGTTGCTTCCACGACGGAGGAACAATAATTCTATGTCAACAGTAAAAATCTTATTTCAACAAACTGTTAACAATCAACACTTACCTTSAATTCTATAACATAGATGTAGGTGTATGAATGACAGCATCAAAAATAGTTTAAATAAACTCTCCATGGTTTTTATCTGAAAAAAACCCGTCATAATTCTGTTAGATTACGACGATTCCGTTCGATGCTTGTGCAAAATACACAACCATAACGTGTTTGGTAGCCTTTTATTACACTTTATATAAAGGTTGTTGCTTGTTAGTGGTATCTCTTTCTCTGAAAAAATGAAGTTTTAGAATTTACACTGAAGCACGCTAAACTTAACCTTTTTATATAGTCATATGTTATTTTCCCAGTTAGCATTTTCCCACCACTTTGTTTCCTGTCATCCTACGTTTGAAAATGGTAGAAATAATATCTTTTCTTTTTAAAAAATCCTGTTCCTTTCATTAACTCGATGAAAATGAAAGCTTACAAGGACTACCGAGCGACAAATCAAAATAAATGCGATAAAAATCTGAGCGATAAATCATGGAACTCAAAATAAGTATTGTCCAAGGTCCCGCCATTCACAGCAAACCAATTCAGTTATTGTCTATTGTTGGATAATCAGATATATCAAGCGATACATACCTTATTAGAGCCCGCGTGTACAAATGTAGTTGTGATAAATGTATCAATGTCCCAAGCCTTTATAATGTTTGTAGTTCAAAATAAACATTGTTGTCATGGTCAAAATTGTTTGGATAATGGTATGAAAGTTATCGAAAACCTCTTGCCTCAATAAACAAGAGATAATTTGCTTGAACAGGTCACGTGAATCTACTTCCTCTAAAGCAAGATTCATAAAACCGAACTCCAGAATCATCAAGGTTACAAGATATATAAAAAAACACATTCAAAGGATTTAATTTTTTTATATAAAAGACGTCATTGAGATTTTTCAGAGTTTTTCTAATCAGTTTTATAAAATCAATCTATCCATAAGTTTTTTTTCTATATATGTGCATGCGAATAAGTAGTCTTTGTGGGCTTCGCCTTATTTGTCAAGTGCTTTTGTTTGGTTGGAATGTTGAACCTTTTGAGCCAGACGTCTTTGCTGGGRTTGTCATCAAGGATTTCACTGCAAGAAATATAGATCGAAGTGAGAATGTATATATTACGTTTGGTCACTATTGAAAGTACATATATCAGAAATATATTACATATAGTTATTCGTTTATACGTACTCGTTGCAATATCCACAAGTYCTTTTACAGTTTTGAGTTAGATAATCACGGCTAAAACCAATTACTCCATCATCACAAAATCCACCTTGGATGTASGTAGAGCACTCAGGGTCCATATCATTACACCCTGCTGAAATGGATATAAAATACATATAGTAAGAAAATAACGAATTTCTCTCTTTTTCTTTGTGTATCTTTGTCTTTCCTCTTATTTCTAAGCTTCCTCTCTATTTCATATTTCAAAACATCTGTCTTTTGAACAACTTCTTGTCCCTCTAATCTATTCRTTTGTCTCCCATCTCCTCTTATACTTTTTCGTCTCCATTATGGATTATATTGAGAACTTTGACAAAAGCTTTCTCTCTGCCAGGTTTCTTCATAGGTACGCCTGTCTTTCATTAGAAGTCAGAACATCATCAAGGTTAGAATTAATATTTTAGCGTTCCTTTCATCAGACCTGATTCAGCAAATTCCCTTTTATCANTGAAGTTTGAGGCCTAAATGCATTGGGGCCATTCATATATGGCCTATAGTTCCCAGCTGGGATGCCAATGATTGGATGAGGATGAGCTACATATGGTCCTGAAGGAGTGTACTTGCCCAGAGTATTGTACGGTCCAGGATGATAATGCGCTTTATGGAAGATGAACGGATTTACGTGAGGAGAGTAGATACCATGATTAATGTGGCCAGGAAGAGGTTGGTGGGTGTAAGGATCAACTGGTATTGGTATTGGGACTGGAACTGGTACGCGAATACCAAAAACACTTGGGCTTGGAGCTTTTGGGCTTGATGTAGCTGAATAAAACAACCAATAAATTATTTTTTTGGTAATTGCATGTTAAATTTCGAAGGCAAGTCTGATGAAAAATGAAGTTTATTGATATTTTATTTACCCGTACTCGGTGGAAGCCCTGTTGGAGTTAAAAGAGGGGTCGAAACCTTAGGTGGAACACCTGTAAAAAAGTTAAAATTAGGTCTTTTCTTTTTCATTTCTGTGGTTTCCAGACAGACTCTGGATTGAAAATTCCCCAAAAGAGCCTTAATGAACAAGGATATTCTCAACAGCTGACTTACCTTTGAGAATTTTTTCAACAAACTCACAGGCGGGATCACTGACTGGATTTTTTGTCTTCATGATAACAGCATTTTCACAGGTCGGAGGGCTTCCAATGATGCACAGTTCAGGTTTGCTGACAGCTGTACATGTGCCAGCGGATATCACCATAACGCCATGCTCGTGGAGTTCTTTCGCCGGTAAAACAACATCATCGACTGTTTTCCCACACATCATGTGAATCAGTCGTTTTTGAAAACCACGGCGAGATTTGGCTTGAAATACAGACTCTTTAACTGTTTTCAGCGCCGTTCCTACTTTAGGCACTCCACCAACTCGAGTCAAATGACTCAACGCATTGTCCATACTTCCAACATCAAAAAGTTGATCAAGATTGAAAACAATTTTGGTGTCAGCACCGTAAATTGCTACAGCGATGTGAGTCTCTTCAGGCGAGATGGAAAATTGATTATACACCGTTTTCGTTATTTCGATAAGGCTTTGGAAATCTTGATCATTGATGGCATCACTCGCGTCTATTAGAAAACCAATGTCCAATGGGAGTCTCTTATCTGCATGTAATCCACAGTCGACTTTCAGGGGTAGGGTAGGGTGAGGAAGTGGTAATGGTGTTGCTATGGTGCAAACATTACAGAGCAGACCGTTTCCAATGACGAAGACTGCAAAGAAATTTAATTCATGTCGGTTAAGATGGTGAAAGGTATAAAATATTTTTTTTATTTTTTGCTCTTAATTCACAAAAAAAAAGCGTATTCCACGGTATAAAAAGATGGTTGTTCTTACTGCCTTCTAACTGCTTCGCCAAAATATTTTGTACGTTAGAACTGAATGGGAAATCTGGCTCCTCAATAACAAAATCACTAGGAGGAGCACTAGAAACAGCTCCAAGAAATGACCAATCAGAGGCTCGGCCCAGTCCAACAGCAAACACCATAACACCAYTCCTTCGCAGATAATTGACAGAAGTGGTCACATCACCATCCCATTTTCCGCCACTTATAGCCACTAAGATTTGAGGCACMCCCCTGCGACCTTGGCTTTGAAAGACCTGTTTCGTTTGGTTCAGACCTGCACCCATATCACAGCTTTCGTCTGTTGACCTTCCTTCGGCAAGTGCAACGGAAATATCTTTCTTACTGCGTAGATCTTTCAATACCTAACAACGGTTTGATATAATACTATTTGGTTAAATGTCTGGGCCATGTCGGATAAATAGAACTAAATGTGATAGGCCACGTATAATACAAACTGAAATCTTACATGATAATGATGATGCCTTAGTAATGAAACAGTAACAGTATTATACCTTAACGTCGTTGGAAAACGTCAGAACTCCTACATTCGTTTCACCAATAGCCAGCGAGTTTAAAATTGATTTAACAATTTCTGCCACCTTGGGGAAGGAAGGAGATGGCACATTCCGACAAGCATCCAGGAGAAAAACTATGTCAACCTTGGTCTCTGTAAGAAAAGCGATTAGTAGATAACGAACGATATATATCGCGATTTTCTTTTAAGAACTTTCAGTTATACATTTACACAGTATTATCAGTACCTCCTCTTTGCACACATTGATTACTCCAGGCTTTGACGACAGAAAGCACTGCAAAATTAAACGGTCTATTATTGACGAATTCTTTTAAATATTCGCCAAACTATATGCACCAAACTAGTACAAAGACAATCTAAGTTGACTTGATTTCAACCGGACTTGTTAAGAACATTTTTGTACATACCTTTGTATATCTTTGAGGCCATCATTTCACCAAGAGAAACTTCTCCAGGGTATGTTTCACTTATCATAACATACTCTGATCGAGGGGAACTGGCCACTTTACTAATCGCATTGGAATCAAAGGAGGTTCCAAGACCCATAGTGAACATCAGTACGCACGATTCTTTTAGCTGCTGTGCAGGGCCATCCACTGGATCTTTGGAGGGTCCTGTAACAATCGTCACTACCACGTGTGGAATGTTTGGGCGGCCATAAGGATCGAAAATTAATGTCTTCACCTTATTTAAAGCATTACCTATAAAACTATCCCCACCCGGGTAAGGAGCACTATCAACTGCGTTGTCCATTTCTTCCACGGTGAAGAAAGTAAAGAGATTGAAGACATTTTTTGTTTTGGATGACAGGATTACAAAGGACACATGGGTTTCATCCCTGGCAATGATAAAGAAACGGTAGATTGCCTTCACAATTTCTTTGATCTGTTCGAAGTCTTGTGGCTTGGTGTTATCGCCACCATCAACGAGAATGACTAGATCAATTTTCCCTGTAAATAGAATGTCACAGAAATTGTGAAAATGTTAAGGTAATAACAAAATTACACTAAAACCGTGCTGATAATCTGGTAGCAAAACTACTAATATGGACARATATAGTTTCGTTTTCTCTTCATCTCCTCTACTAATTTCATTGTCAAAAGGACTCACCATTTACGATGTTTGGAGATGGAGGTATTGTTTTTGGAGGTGGAATATCTGAAATTCAAAGCATATCTTTCAGATATTATTAAATTAATATTAGATTATTGATTAATAAGGTTACATACCATTTTTTACTTTGGCAATTTGCAGTTTGTCTATTATATCAAGAGCCCCTGGGTTAAGATCATCTATGTTGATATCCTTAACAATGTGTTTATTTAATGGAACGCTGGCGGTATCTTCATAAACTTTACTTTGAACACTTGTGCCAATACCAAGTACGAATATCTCGACTTTACTGTCCCTTAATACTTTGACTTCATCTGAATACTGGTCTTGAGGATTTCCAGCCATAATGACAACAAGAACCTAGCATGTATATAATAATGACATTGTCACAATAATACATCTCTCGTAATTGTATATTCTACATAAGTTATGTACCTTTCTCGAAGCTTTTCGGCTACTTTTATCAAAAATGTTTGTCTTGATAGATGAAAATGCCTGGCCAACGTTAAGCAGTCCTTTTCCTCCGGGATACGTGGTGCTATCAATAGCAGAGTTTAACGCTGGTTTGGTAAAATATTTGTCCAGATCGAAGACTATTTGAACAGTAGTTGAGATTACGCCAAAACCAACATGAACGTCGTCTTTAGAGAGAGGGAAAGCACTACAGATGTATTTTACTGCATCCAGCAGATAGAGAAAGTTTGCCTTTGGGACATTACTGGATCCATCAATTAGGAAAACAAGATCGACTTGTACAGCTATGGAGAAAAGATATGTAAATAAGCTTTTAAGCTTATTTAAAAATGCAAACATTATCGAAGACATCACATAAGCAACTCAATGTAAATGACAAAATGGAATACAAACCAAATAGAACATGAGTTACCTCTCTTGATTCTTGACACTAGGTTTTCTCCTGAAGAACCCCTTGGAGAATACGAAGCCAGAATCAAATGATTCTCAGGATATGATGATACTATTTCCGTTAGTTCAGCTCCGTCAACGCTCGAACCAGCTCCAATAGCAAATATGGTAACATTCCCTTGCTTTGCTTGCTGTGCAGCCTGGGTAACTGAGTCACGTGATTTAGAACCGGTTATTAAAACAAGTATGGCAGGAGTTTGTAAGCGTGTGTTTGATTT